TTTGCATCATGCAAAACACAAACTCTAGATCCATTAGTGCAGTGGTCCCCAACCTTTTTGGCACCAGGGATTGGCTTTGTGGAACACAATTTTTCCACAGATTGGAAGCAGGGGGAGGTGAGGTGCTTTTGAGATGATTTAAAGTGCATTACATTTTTTTTGTAATTGAGACAGGGTCTCACTGTGTCATCCAGACTGGGGTGCAGTGGCACAATCACATTTCACTGCAGCCTCAACCTCCCAGGCTCAAGCAACCCTCCAACCTCAGCTTCCTGAGCAGCTGGGACCACAGGCATGTACCACCAGACCCAGCTAACTTTTTGCATTTTTTGGCAGAGATGAGGTTTTGCCATGTTCAGGTCTTGAACTCCTGAGCTCAAGCGATCTGCCTGCCTTGGCCTTCTAGAGTGCTGGGATTACAGGTGTGAGCCACCGTGTAAAGCACATTACATTTACTGTGCACTTTATTTCTATTACTATTACATTGTAATACATAATGAAATGATTATACAGCTCACCATAATGTAGAATCAGTGGGAGCCCTGAGCTTGTTTTCCTGTACTAGACGGTCCCATCTGGGGGTGATGGGAGACAGTGACAGATCATTAGGTATTAGATTCTCATAGGAAGTGCATAACCTAGACCCCTCACATGGGCAGTTCACAATAGGGTTCACCTAATGCTGCCACTGATCTGACAGGAGGTGGAGCTCAGGCAAGTGATGGGGAGAGGCTGTAAATACAGAAGCTCCGCTCGTTCGCCCACCCACTGCTCACTTCCTGCCATGTGGCCTGATGCCTAGCAGGCCACGGACCCCCGGGGGTTGGGGACCCCTGCATTAGGCAACTACTCCCCATTTTCCCCTATCCCCAGCTCCTGGCAACCACTATCCTACTTTCTGCTTCTATAGATTTGACTACTCTAGGTGCATCATACAATAGAATCATACACTTGTGACTGTCTTATTTCACCTAGCATAATGTCTTCAAGGTTTGTCCACATTATAGCTTATGTCAGAATTTCCTATATTCTTATGGCTGAATAATATCCCACTGTATGTATATGCCGTATTTATCAACAGGTTCTCATTCTCTCACCCAGGCTGGAGTGCAGTGTGGCGTGATCATGGCTCACTCAGCCTCGACCTCCTGGGCTCAAGCAATCCTCCCACCTTAGCCTCCTGAGTAGCTGGGACTACAGGTGTGTGCCACCATGTCCAGTTAATTATTTTTTTTTGTATTTTTTTGTGGAGACAGGGTTTCACCTTGTTGCCCAGGGTGGTCTTGAACTCCTGGGCTCAATCCTGCATCAGCCTGCCTCCAAGAATGTTAGGAATACACGTGAGCCACCACGCCTGGCCTGCTATATTGATCTGTTCATGCATTGATAAGACATTTGGGTTGCTTTTGGTTTTGGCTATTGCAAATAATGCTTCTACACAGTTACCTAAATATCTGTTCAAGACCCTTTCAATTCTTTTGGATCTATACCCAGAAGTTGAATTGCTGGATCACAGAGTAATTGTGTTTTTAATTTTTTGAGCACAGGTGACTTTTTCACAGCACATGCAGCATTTTACATTCCTGCCAACAGTGCACAAAGGCTCTCATTTCTGCACATCCTTGCCAACACTTATTTTCTGTAATAGCCATCCTAATGGGCATTTGTCTATAGAAATGTGTGCTTAAAGTAACTGAGTGTGGTTTGCTAACACACTCAGGACAGTATCTGTCACAGGGTAATCTTTGTTTCTTGAAAAAATACACAACTCAGCAGTTTACAGGTTGGAAATAGTCTTAATACTGCAAGTTATATGGCCACATGGTAATTGCTTTAACAAAGCTCTAAAATACTGCATTACTACCAAGTGGCAACTCAAACTTTAAGGGAAGGGTTCCCTTGATCTTTGAGCTTGACAGATGAGTAAGACTATCCAGGAAATGACATTCCACAAAGCAGATGAAATAGCATGTTCAGAGGTTGTCATGGAGATGTAAAAAGAAACATTTTTAAACTCAGTATCACTGAAGGTGGCAGGCAATGAAGCTGGTGCTCACTATATTCCAAGTGATGAGGGGATTTTGTCTACAGTATTTTCTTCCTAATCTTTAAAAATATGGCTTCGTTTCCTGCAACTGGTTTCTGAGTACTTCAGACTTATGCTGTTTCATGGTGAAGTTTTTTAAAGACCTAATTTCACCCCCTTATTCAAGTGAGGAAATAAAACACAAAGAGGGCTGGAATGACATCACTCAGTCTTCCAGTTCGGAGACAGCTGGAACTGAAACTCCAATCTAGGGTTTTCTTTACTATTCCAACAGAACTTTATCAGGTCTCATCATTCATTTTCAGCCTTTAGAGTGAGAGGATTCTTAAAAGAATGGTATACTTTTGTAAAGACTAAAAAATCCCTTTGCATTAATGCAGTGCTTTGTTTTTTTCAAAGTGCTTTTCATCAGCACAATCTCCAGATGTTACCATGTGCCTCCTCTGCCACACATCTTAATTTTCTTGAACAAGAGCACTTTTGTTCTAGTTCCAACAGTTTCTCTCACACTGTTCTCTAATAAAAACAGTCTGCAAAGCTTAATCCCAACCAAAAGCAATCAAAACCAAATTGGAAACAGATACACTATGAATGCAGGAACACTATATTTATTAGGTCAATAATTCATTTTTAGCAATACAAGTACAGAATAATATCACAATGCTGGTTACAAACATACTTAGTATGGTTTAATAGTTACAAATAACGGTGGGCACTACAAGTTGGTGAGAATGATATGAAAGGTCATCCTGACACAATGAAGAACTGTCTTCAAAAATCTATTTAATGACCTTAGATATTTCTATAGAAATTATTGTGGCACTATTAGTGGGGATTTTCACGTAAAGATTGTTAATGTTTTGCTTTTAACTGTTACATTAAGAACTTTTAATTTTGAGCCTATTAAACTAAAATCCCCTGATGCTTAATAAAGTATAAAAATAGTACTGACCTGGTAATATTTAATAAAATGTAGCATTCATTCACATCATAAAAGTAGAACTAAACTGAAAAGTTTTAGTTACCATGGCAAAATATCTTCCCATAAAAGGAATATACAGAAATGAGTAATGTTACACAAACAGTACCTGCAATGGTTATTTAGTGATCCAACACTTAACTGTGCACCACAAACCAAGTTTTCTAGATATCTATATATAGCATATAATTTTAATCTTAAATTTTACTCTTGAAAAACATGTGCACTTCAACAAACTCACTAAGGCCACTCATGCTATAGATACCTAGGATTGCAATTAAAGAACAGTATTATGCAATAAGTCCTAAAGCACACTCCTTCTGATTATCAACAGGGTAAAACCAGTTTTCTGCCTAAAACATTCCTGAGATTTATGGACAAAAGTAGTGTTGAAGCTGGAGATTAATCCAAATGTCGTATTAACAACAAAAAATTTCCTAGCCAGGCGTGGTGGCAGGAGCCTGTAATCCCAGCTACTCGGGAGGCTGAGGCAGGAGAATTACTTGAACCCGGGAGGCGGAGGTTGCAGTGAGCCAAGACGGTGCCATTGCCCTCCCAGCCTGGGCAATAACAGCGAAACTCCGTCTCAAAAAAAAAAAAAAAAAAAAAAAAAAAAAAAAAAAAAAAGAATTTCCTGGCAACTAAGGTCCTCCACAGCCAAGAGGTGAAATACACATTCACTTTTAAAGCAAAGGTAAAACTCTAAAAAATTTGTACTTATAAATTAGTGTTTTTCCAGTAGTAACTTTGCCACCCAGGGGGGAAAAAAAAAAAAAAAAGGAGCAGCAAGGCTACAAATTCTAGGGAAAACATAAAAAGTGGCAGTTAACGATACCTGTTATGAGCAAATCATTATTTCTACGTATAGTTTCAGCCAAAGGCTTCAATCATGTTTCGGCATGTGTTTACTGAGTTTTCTGTCTGCACTATTAAGGAGCAGCCAAATGGCACCTTCATTATTTCTAAGATCGCAGCCTCTGTACTTAATTTTCATAAAATTATAAACTCTTCCCAACAGGCTAGGAACAAAGGTCTTTCTCAAATCCTTTATTTTCACAAATGAAAAAATACCTGGGCAGGGGTTACTACAAAGCAACAGTGAGTCAGTTTTTAACCAGGCAGAGACAGAGATCTGATGGTAATAAGGGTCTCAATCCCTTTGGCAAAGTCAGCTTTGAGGACCCATAAAGATTATGCTCTAAAAATTCCAATTGGCTCTATTAAATGGAATGCAGGCATGAATGGCCACCTGAGCGACACATGCGAGTGCTGAGGGAGCTCCCTGATGCACCCAACTGGAGTAGCACCGAACTTTAGGAAGAGACTGGGTAGAAGAGAAGAGTCAGAGAAGGATGAGACCAAAGGCCCCTAATTTAACGACTTTGCTGAACCTCCAGAAAAATCTTTAAGTTGGCCAGGGCTTCCTTACATACCTCACCATATGTAAAAAGTTTGTGCAAGTTAACTTATTGTGAGATAAATTTTATTATTTTCAGATTTTAAAAAAAACCAATAAATCATAGTGGCACACATCTAACTTATCCTAAACATCCCTACTTAAAGGATGAATCTTACACTTAAAAGTCATAGGGTATTATTCTTCATTAGAACCAGAAATAAGAACATATTAAGTCATATCCCTAACCAAAAATGGCAATCTGTTTTCTTAGCTAGTGTATGCACAAAAGTATATGGATTTACAAAAAAAAAAAAAAATTAAAGCAGTGGTGATAAGGAGAAATTGCCAATAATGATGTTTCAAAAAAACACAACTGGCTGCCAATTGACATTATCACCCTGTGATCCTAAGCTTCTACATATCATGTTGTTTTATCACTGAGTGTGAGCTAAGTTGAGTTCAAACTGAGTTAGGGAGGATGAGGCTGTAGGTCATTTGTTTATTTTTATCCTAGGAAATGCTGTATGTGCACAAAACCAAAAAATACGGATTGAAAAAAAAAAACTTCATATGGAAACATGTTTCAAAATATTTATTGAAAAACAATTTACCATGACATTCCTATACCACAAACATACCACTGGATTCTAAATAACCAATAAAAGTATACAAAGCCTATCCTGAAAATATCTTTGGAGGTATTAAATATATAGGCCCATGAGGATAGAGCTGAGTAACTTAAAAATGTTAGTCCTTGGTCACAAAGACTATTTGGTAATTAATAAAGAAGTGCCTCTTGACATTAGACTGCAATTAACTGAGGGGTGGGGGGCAGCTTCATAAACTGCAAGTACATCAATTTACTCTTTCCAAAATTTAAAAAGAAAATAATTCAATTTAAGGAATCAACTCAGGTTTCTAAATCACACAGTTATCATCTTAGGGTGTGGGCATGCTTCATCTCTTTCAGTACATCCCCCAACCAACCCCCTCCTAGAGAACTTAAATGCACTGGCTCAAAACTAATAGGACTGCAAATAACAGCTTCAAACAAGGTTGGGAAGTTGAAAAAAGTGCTTAAAATATTAATAAAATTTGAAATCTACAATTTTTCTATACTCAATGTGGCAGACAGCTTAGATTTTTTCGCCTCTCACCCAACATGTATGTTAAAAGAAAACTAAAATTCAACACACATCCATTCACCCACAGACTACTCCAAGCATTAGCTAAGAGCAACATCTTTAATAGCCAAGTCATGAACCCCTGAAAATAGGGGGGAACCCAGATTCTTAACTATAGAAGCATCCGATGGGCTACTACAGTAAGAATTGAGGTAACAGCAAAATACCTTTTTGTTTCTTGAATTGCTACATGTCACAAATTCTTAAATTTAATTATTACCTCATAATTAAATAACCTGACTGGCTTACAAAAAAATCAAATCAAAACCCAATAAACAGAAAGACAAGTTAGTGAAATAGTTGTATTATTAGGGGATCTTTCCATTTGACTCCTAGATTTCAAATGAAATGACCTAGTTGTATTACTATTTACCATAAAAATGGAGGGTTTTCTAAGACTTATTTTTGGGCATTCATTTTCATTAATCTCTATAAACCATACAGTAACCTAACATTTCCATCTGAACATGAACTTTTTCATGACTCACAGTCAGTATACTTGTTAACTGCATTGATTACTAGGGCAACATTCAAAATGAGGGGGATGGCTGCAGCTGATATTTATAGACTTGCTTATGGCACTGCCATCTGTGTACCTTGACTAAAAATATGCCATTGAAATTGCCAAACTTCCCTAATTTGGTATCTATTACATAATTTTTGCATTATTCTTTTTCATTATACATCTAAATGAAATCATTCTACTGATAAAAGTATACATAGGATCTAAAATAATCATCTAAAGCCTCTGGTCCAAATAACCACCTTCTACATAAGGCTGGTCCTTTTTAGATCCTCCTGGTCCTGTTAGCAAATGCTATCAGAGCATCTTACATTGTTGTACCAAAAAAAAAAAAAAAAAAACACAGTCAGAAGTGCTGGTCTATCAGATTTTCTGTTACTTACAGATCAACACTGGTCCAGTTCAGATGAATCGGACAGTCCTTTCCTTGTAATACAGAGTGGTTGTATCCACTTATCTGGGCAAGGTAGCCAAACATAAGTCAGGATGTCCCTCTTTTATTAGTACTTGTATTAACTTTTCTATACTGCATATAAAGATTTTCCCATAAAATTCCTTTACACTACAGTATTGAATACCTCCACATGGAAGAATTACATATTAAAAAGTTGTTAAAATCATCCTTACATAATAAGAATGCAACTCTTTTAAACTCTTAAATAGTTTTATTTAGGGGTGTGTTTTATTCTTTCAGGCTTTCTGCAAAATGGATTTTTTAAAAACAAAAAAAAAGATTTCTTGTTGTTTGTTCTACGAGGTTGAAAATGTGGGCCAGACTACTTACACATGCGGTACATGCTGAATATAACTGAATATATGCTTATTCCTACAGACACTCTGCAAGATAGGGATCACCCAAAATAGGGTCTTCAATGGACTGGACCAGTGTTTCAATGCAAATTCCAGCCCCCCAAAACAACATGGTTTTGATTTCACAGTATGAATTCCCTGGAATCCGGGAAAAGGTAATTGGTTAACTGAGGTCCTCCCTCAGCAGCTCGGTCCCTCAACATTCTGAGAAATCAGGAAGGACTGCACCACTTCTTCAGTGGACTGGGGGCTGGTGTTGACATCTTCAAGAGCATCTGTCACTGAATACTGCCGATCTCGCAACCGGTTCCAGTTAGACAGAACATTGTGATATTCAAACACTTTCTCGTAATTTCCAATGGAGTTGTAAAGTTTAATGAGACCTCGATAATCATATTCTAGTCCACTGTAGCCTTCACCAAAAAGTTTCTTCCCTGAAAGTAACAAAAAAGGAAAAAAGAAAAAAAAAGAAAGCACAAAAGCACAAATAATGAGATAACAAGCAATTTCTATAATAGGAACAAGTTCAATTCTTTAAACAGGGAGGCTTAGGTTTATTCCCCTGCAAGGAATAGATGTAATTCTTGTATCAGCATCCCCCAAAACAGTCCATGAGCTATCACTAAGACTTTAAAAAAATTTTCTCTTGTCTAAAGCTGGCCTCACTAGAACAGAATTATAAAAATTCATGGTTTGAAGGAACTGTTTTAAAGAGATCTCAAAGAAGAACAGCAGCATCTCCAACAACAGAAAAATACACATGCACAGGCCAGTCATGGTGGCTCATGCCTGTAATCACAGCACTTTGGGAGGCCAAGGTAGGTGGATCACCTGAGGTCAAGAGTTAGAGACCAGCCTGGCCAACATGGTGAAACCCCATCTCTACTAAAAATACAAAAATTAGCTGGGCATGGTGGCGCATGCTTGTAATCCCAGCTACTGGAGAGGCTGAGGCATGAGAACCGCTTGAACCCAGGAGGCAGAGGTTGCAGTGAGCCAAGATCAGGCTGCTGCACTCTAGCCTGGGTGACAGAGAGAGACTCCGTCTCAAAACAAACAAAAAAACCAAAACACACGCACAAGGCTATTCACTGCAACAGTATTTGTAATTACAAAGTAACAGAAACAAATGAAAACATGTAGAATGGTTTAATCAACTGTGGTACCTTCACTCAATGGCATCCTATGTAGCTGCAAACTGACGGGGAAATTCTGGGCTCTCTATAAATGGTTACGGAGTGACTGATGGTATATTGTTAAGATTCAAAAATGTAAAATACCAAAGAGTATCTATAGTGTGCTATCTTTTGTGTATGATAGGGAAAATAAGAAAATATGTAACTGTTCATTGTGCAAAAAGATATACAAAAACGATAAACCAGAAACTAATGAGACTGGTTATCTATAGTGAGTGGGTGGGAACTGGGTAGAAGAAATCAGAGAAAATGACATGTCTCTGAGCATATCTTTCTGTATAGTTCTAATTACAGTCCATTAATTAACTCAAAAAATTAACAAAATAAAGAAAGATGGATAGGAGCAAAATTTAACATGTTAAATAAACCTAATTGTTTTGCAAAAGAATAACATAACCACATTGAACGAAGGGGGTGTAAATAACCCCAAGTAACTTTTGAACACAGTATTCCGAATATATACTACCTTCAGGCTAAACAAAAACTGTAAATGAATATTGAACTCTAAGTAGTAGGTCTGTTTTTCACAGTGGTATGGGTTAGCAACTCTTAAACTACATGCACCTGAGGAATGAACAAGTCAGTCAATACATTATAGATAATAGGGAAACCACATGTATATGGATAAATGATTTATGATGAAGACAGTATCGCAGAGGGAAAAAAACAGTATTGTGGCCAGGTGTGGTGGCTCACACCTGTAATCCTAGCACTTTGGGAGGCCGAGGCGGGCAGATTGCCTGAGGTCAGAAGTTCAAGACCAGCCTGGCCGACATGGCAAAACCTTGCCTCTGCTAAAAAATTACAAAAAAATTAGCCAAGTGTGGTGATGCGCATCTGTAGTCCCAGCTACTTGGGAGACTGGGACGGGAGAATCGCTTGAACCCAGGAGGCGGAGGCTGCAGTGAGTCAAGACCACGCCACTGCATTTCAGCCTGGACGACAGAGTTTGAGACTGTCTTAAAACCAAACCAAACCAAAAAAAGTCTTTTGAAGAAACGGTCTTGGCTTAACTCTATGTCCATACTGGGAAAAAAAATTGAATCCCTACTGCACACATAAACAAAAATCAGTTTCAGGACTGTAGATCTAAATATAAATAAAGTTTCCTGAAGATAATTTTCTAGAAAAATATCTTTATTACTTTGGGAAGGAGTGAGCCATTGCGCCCAGTCAAAAAGATTTCTTAAACAGAATACAAAAAGTGCTATTCACAAAAGAAAACACTGACGCAGGCTAGGCGCAGTGGCTCACAAGGCCTGTAATCCTAGCACTTTGGGAGGCCGAGGCAGGCAGATCACAAGGTCAAGAGATTGAGACCATCCTGGCCAACATACTGAAACCCCGTCTCTACTAAAAATACAAAAAATTAACCGGGTGTGGTGGCGGGCACCTATAGTTCCAGCTACTCGGGAGGCTTAGGCAGGAGAATCGCTTGAACCTGGGAGTTGGAGGTTGCAGTGAGCCAAGATCGCGCCACTGTACTCTAGCCTGGGTGACACAGCGAGACTCCCTCTCAAAAAAAAAAAAAAAAAGAAAGAAAGAAAATACTGATGCATCTGATTACATTAAGGACTGGCTGGCTGGGCACAGTGGCTCACGCCTGCAATCCCAGCACTTCGGGAGGCTGAGGTAGGAGGATCACTTGAGCTCAGGAGTTTGAGATCAGCCTGGGCCAAGATTGTGAGACCTCATCCCTATTGAAATAAAAAAAAAAAAATTAGCCAGCTGTGCTGGTACATGTCTGTAGTCCCAGCTACTCAGCTGAGGCAGGAGGATCACCTGAGCTCAGGAGATTGAGGTTGCAGTGAGCCCTGATTTGCACTCCAGCCTGGGTGACAAAGTAAGATCCTGTCTCATACACAAAAAAGAATTATTGTTATTTAAAAGGCTCCATTAGGAAACAAGCAATAGAATAAGAGATATGTGCAACACATGTAACCAACGAAGGTCTGTCATATTCGTATCATATAAAGAACTTCTACAAGTCAGTAAGAAAACGACAAGATAAATCAGTATAAAAATGGGCAAGAGTTTTAACAGGCACTTCATAAGATGATGGCCACAGATTCCTTATCTTGATTTTGTAATAGTCCTGAAATGGAAATCCAAATGTTCCAAATGTTCATTAACAGTGGAATGGATAAATGATGACATCCTAATCTAGCATCTGGCAGTGATATGCAACATCACAGATGTTACCATTATTGTTCACCAGTAAGTCAGACACATAAAAATACACATTGTATAACTTTATCAAGTTCAAAAACAGGTAAGCCTGATCTATGATGTTAAAAGTTAGGAGAAGGGAGGGGGAGGAATGAGTGGGCAGTAACTGCACAAATACTTTAAAATAACTACTTTTGCCTACACATGACACTCTGCTGTCACACTTCTTACTACTGGCTTCAGTATCAAAAAAAGCACCTTTAGCAAAATGTTCCAGATGATTTTTGAGTGGTTCCTGAATATCCTTAGCAACTTATCCCATTTAAGTCTATTTTATTTTATTAACTATTTTACTATTTTATTTTATTTATTTTTTTGAGATGGAGTCTCATTCTGTTGCCCAGGCTGGAGAGCAGTGGCCCAATCTCAGCTCACGACAACCTCTGCCTTCCAGGTTCAAGCGATTCTCCTACCTCAGACTCCTGAGTAGCTGGGACTACAGACGCGCACCACCATGCCCAGCTAATTTGTTTCTGTATTTTTTTAGTAGAGATGGGGTTTCACTATGTTGGCTAGGCTGGTCACCAACTCCTGACCTCAAGTGATCTGCCTACCTCGGCCTCCCAAAGTGCTGGGATTACAGGTATGAGCAACGACACCCAGCCCCATTTAAGTGTTTAATAACATTTTCCTTATACAACATATAAGACATGCTGACATGCTGATTTGTAATCAACTGACTAAAGAAAATTTAAATGTAACATACCAATTGCTATAGATCGCAAATAAAGTTTCTCAGCATTTTCATACTGATTCATGTCATAATTATATAAAGAAGCCAGATGTCCGACTGAAAGGGCTACTTCATAATCCTCTTGACCAAGAAGTTGTTCTTTAATCTGAATTGCTTTGATGTGCATTTCTTCGGCTTCCTGAAAAACAATTACGCCATATCAATCATTATACTTTTTCTCATCTTAACAGTTCTTACTCAATGAGCAAAACTGATCTAAATGCCAAAGACATCTTATGAATGCCATAAAGTAATCATATCAAAGAACATACTATGTTATTCCAAAAACTGCCTATGGGAAGCATTACAGAGTTTTGGAAACCGCAGATAAACTGATGACAGCAATAGTATCCTATGCCAAAAGTAACAAGTGAAAACTTATCCTGGTAATAAAAAATTGTTAGAAGAACAATTTTTTAGAACAAAGAAATTTGCAAAATTAATTATTACAAGAAACTGTTACAAGAAATTAACAAAACATTCTAAAACAAAAATTACTTCCTTTGGTTAACACAGTTAACACAGTCCAAAATTTAGTTGAACCTTCTTAACAAGTTCTGTATCATAATATGTTAATTTACACAGGTATATACTTCATTTTTTGGAATTCTGACAATTTTTATTCCAACAAACTAAACTCAAGGTACTTCAGGGATACATAGGTTGCTTTTCAGGTAAAGAAGACCTCTCACTCTTTCCTTACTGTGATCCCAAAATTAGTAATATTAAGAATTTATAGGCTGGGCACAGTGGCTCATGCCTGTAATCCCAACAGTTTGGGAGGTTGAGGCAGGCAGATTGCTTGAGCCCAGGAGTTCGAGATCAGCCTGGGCAACAGGGCTGGGCAATAGGGCAAGACCCTGTCTCTACAAACAATACAAAAATTAGGCAGTGTGGTGGTGTGTGCCTGTATTCCCAGCTACTTGGGAGGCTGAGGTGAAAGGATCGCGTGAGCCCAGGAAAGTTGAGCCTGCAGTGAGCCATGATCATACCACTGAACTACAGCCTGGACAGCAGAGTAAGAACCTACATTAAAAAAAGAAAAATTTGTAACTCAAAATTCTAAAAGACATTGAAGTTAGTCATATTTATTGCTACAATTAATAATACTTGTTGCAATAGCTGACATTTCTTGCACACCTGCCACGTGCCAGGCATTCTGCTAAGAGCTATACTTAGTATATACTAAGAATTATATATCAATAATTATATACTAAGAACTATGTTTGAAGTCAAGTATAGCAATCATATTTGTCTTTTTTTTTCCTTATCTCAAGTACTACTTTCATATATTAATCTTTTTTTTTTTTTGAGATGGAGTCTCACTCTGTCACCCATTGGAGCTGGAGTACAGATCTCGGCTCACTACAATCTCCACCTCCCAGGTTGAAGCAATTCTCCTGTCTCAGCCTCCCAAGTAGCTGGGACTACAGGTGCATACCACCATGCCTGGCTAATTTTTGTATTTTTAGTAGAGATGGGTTTCACCATGTTACCCAGGCTGGTCTCGAACTCCTGACCTCAAGTGTTCTGTCCACCTCGGCCTCCCAAAGTGCTGGAATTACAGACGCGAGCCACTGTGCCTGGCCTCATATATTAATCTTTTTGGTTTGATATGTTTCCTAATTTTTCATGATATATATGTATTTTTTTTTCTGGAGACAGGCTCTCTGTCACGTAGGCTGGAGTGTAGTGGTGTAATCACAGCTCACTGCAGCCTCAACCTCATGGGCTCCAGCCATCCTCTTGCCTCAGCCTCTGGAGAAGCTGGGACTACAGGTGCGAGCCACCACGTCTGACTAACTTTTTCTTTTTTGTAGAGCTGGGATTTCCCTATATTGACCAGGCTATAGTCTTGAACTCCTGGCTTCAGGTGATTGTCCCACCCTGGACTCCCAAAATGCTGGGATTACAGGCAAGAGCCACTGTGCCTGGCCCACGGTCCTGATTTTTAAATTTTATTTATATTTTGACTATTTTTTGTTTGTTTTAGAGATAGGGTCTCACTCTGTCACCCAGGCTAGAGTGCAGTGGTGTGATCAGTCACTGCAGCCTCAACTTCTTGGGCTCAACTCATCCTCCTGCTTTAGTCTTCCAAGTAGCTAGAAAGACAGGTATGTGCCACCACACCTGGCTAATTTTTGTAGAGACAGGGTCTCCCTATGTTGCCCAGGCTCGTCTGAAACTCCTGGTCTCAAGAGACCCTCCCATTTCAGCCTCCCAGAGTGCCAGGATTATAGGAATGAGCCATTGTACTTGGCCTATGTTGTTTTATACTCGCTATCCTCTCAATTCCTTTGTGAATAAGATAAGTGTATAATTTATTTGAGCTTACTTAAGATTATTTAAGATTCTATTTCATTACTTAAGATTAAGAGAGAAAAATATAGTAAAACATGATTCTACCTTGAATTTTCTCATTGACTGATAAAGTCTTCCAAGGTTTCCATAGTGTTTTGCAGTCTGTACATTAAATTCCCCAAAAGCTTTCTTAGCTAGTTGGAGTGAAGACAGGTGCAAATCATGAGCTTCTTGAAGCAGCCTCTGTTCAGTTTCCTTATTATGACAGTCAATTGCAATCTCCTCTAAAATAAGTGCTAAAAAAGAAGGCAATAAATTAATGTACTTCAAAACTGTCTGCCAAAGCTAATAAGAACATTTACTTTAAACTTAAATAATAAAAATGTTTACTGATTATATTTATATGTGATTATGGTTTGGAACTGGTCAAGATGAAAGAATTCCACTTTAACAAAAAAGTACACTTTTTGGTGGTCATTCTATTTTGCACAGTATGTAAATTCAAATTTAAGAAAAACAATGGTATAAGCGATTTTGCAGAATTAGTTTCTATTTTAATAGACTGCTATACTTTGCTGATGTGAATTTATTTTTCAAATTAAATGGAAGGACAAGGCAAGTTTTTTTTTTTTTTTTTGAGATGGAGTCTCTCTGTGTTACCCAGGCTGGAGTGCAATGGCGCGATCTCGGCTCACTGCAACTCCGCCTCATGGGTTCACGCCATTCTCCTGCCTCAGCCTCCCGAGTAGCTGGGACTACAGGTGTCTGCCACCACGCCCGGCTAATTTTTTGTATTTTCAGTAGAGACGGGGTTTCACCGTGTTAGCCAGGATGGTCTTGATCTCCTGACTTTGTGATCCACCCACCTCGACCTACCAAAGTGCTGGGATTACAGGCGTGAGCCACCACGCCCGGCCGACAAGGCAAGTTTTTAAAAGTTATGAAACTGTGTCAAGGAGTACCTAAGCACTTTTGAAAATTTTGAAACCACACTTTATAAAACATAACCTTTAACCAAACACAGCTAAGAACTGGTTTCCTCCTACTCATCTGACCAACCAAATCAGGCAAAACATTTCAATTTCAAAGCTGCATTCAAGACTTTCAAATTCTATCTAAAGTCTTAAGAATATACATATTATTTTACCAGATAATTTGATTTCTTGGAAAACTGTCTATGTACACAAAGGTAAGAAAAAGAGATTTACTTCGCTGTAGCATTTTTAAAAAATAAAAGGTTAAAAACAATTGTAAGAGTCAAATTAAAAAGGTAAGGTTAAATACATTAGAAAAAAGAACATATGTAGAGACATGAAAAAATGTTTGTAATATATTGAGTGAAAAAATCAGATTATAAAACTAAAAAAAAAAATTTAGTTATCTTATTTGAAATAATAAAAGTCTAAAATAATATTCACCAAAATGTTGATTGAGGATTGGTGGGATTTTAAGGCAATTTATTTTTTCTCTTTTCTATCTAACATCATGTATTACTTGTGTAACTTAAAAAATACAAACCTAGAGGGAGAAAAACCTCAGTTCCAGAACTAAGGTAGAACATACCCAACATGCATGGAATTACCACATAGGTAACCCAATCATGTTAGCAAAATAAATACATTACATGAAAAAGCCTTGGTGGTAATCAGAAGGAAAGTTAAAATAAGAAATGGAAGATACGGGTATTTGGCAAGAGTCTTGCAACATTGAGTGTAACCTGATATGAAGCTCAGGATAAGAATCCTGCACTACAAAGCTCAAGTTATGAAACCCATCTTCTATCCATGTTGTGCAGAAACATCTGTATTATTCTTCCATGAAATCCTCAAAAAAAATTAATGCATGCATGAGTGAATGACAAAAAGGAGAGAGAAAAGAAATAAATTCTGGCTTATTAACATTTTTTTTTTTTTTTTTGAGACAGAGTCTTGTTCTGTTGCCCAGGCTGGAGTGCAGTGGCACGATCTTGGTTCACTGCAACCTCTGACTCCTGGGTTCAAACAATTCTCCTGACTCAGCCTCCCAAGTAGCTGGGATTACAGGCGTGTGCCACCACACCCAGCTAATTTTTGTATTTTTATTAGAGATGGGGTTTCACCACGTTGGCCAGACTGGTCTCAAACTTCTGACCTCAGGTGATCCGCCTGCTTAACATACCTCCCAAAGTGCTGGGATTACAGGCATAAGCCACCAAGCCCGGCCTATTAACAATGTTTTATGAGAGATGCAAACAGTCTTTCATTATGAACCACTGGAATCCCTTAAGTAGAGTTGTGGTAAAATGGCTATCTAGTAATACGTAGACACAGTCTAATCCTCTGAGAAAATCCTCCAATCCTCTGAGAAAATAAACAAATATCCCTATTTTATACCATATATCATCTATTTTAAAATATCTGAGTCTAGATTACAAAGGATACCTTTCACCCTCTTTGAAGAAGCCAAAAGAAGATGATCTTCAGGTAGGATGTGGGTAATGATACCAATAGCTCTTTCTGCATGAAATCTGTAATACAGATAGATACAGTCTGGTATTTCTTTTTAGTTACAAATGACTTAGGAATTTTAAAAATCACAATCTGTAATATAATACTGATAGAAAGTACTTCTAAAACTATCTATGGTAAAGATTCAGCTTTTTGCTTTGAATTTCCAATCTGCTGTAGACTGAACTTTTAATACCCAACAGAGACTCCCATTTCCCTCAGAATGAAAGAGAAAGTCTTTACTACAGTCTACAACACTGTATGATCTTTCAGCCTGCTACTTCCCTGACTTCATCTCCTGCCATTCTCACACCAACCCTCTCCTTCCCCTCCAGCCACACAGGCCTAGCAGTTTCCTGAACATGCAGAGCATGTTCTCACCCTGGCTTTACCCTCTCTGCAATGCTCTTCCCCTGAACATTCTCACAGCTCGCTCCTCACTGAACATGTCTTTCCAGAACAGATCATATAAAAGGCCCTAAAAAAATTTACCATTGGCCAGGCGCGGTGGCTCACACCTGTAATCCCAGCACTTTGGGAGGCTGAGGTGGGTGGATCACCTGAGGTCAGGAGTTCAAGGCGAGCCTGGACAACATGGTGAAACTCTATCTCTACTAAAAAAATACAAAAATTAGCCAGGTGTGGTGGTGAACGCCTGTAATCCCAGCTACTCAGGAGGCTGAGGCAGAACTGCTTGAACCCTGGAGGTGGAAGTTGCAGTAAGCCAAGACTGCACCATTGCACTCCAGCCTGGATGACAAAGACTGCCTCAAAAAAAAAAAATTTTACCATCACTCTCTCAACTCTTAGCCTACTTTACTCTTCTTCACAACATGTATTCTCGCCTGACAAGTTTGGTTATTTGTTTATGGCCCATATCACCAAATAGAAGGTAAGCTATTTGTTTTATTGTCAGTTCCTTTCAAACAACACCAAGCCTCCTCTCCCCCATCTTCCAGGTAACCACTAGTTTTCTCAAATCTGTCTTCCAATTTATTGATTCTCTCTTTTGTTCTAACTAATCTGCTGTTAAACTTGTCTGCTGAGTTTTTATTTTTTTTTGAGACACGATCCTGCTCTGTCGTCCAGGCTAGAGTATAGTGGTGCAACCATGGCTCACCACAGCCTCAAACTCCTGGGCTCAGGTGATCCTCCCACCTCAGCCTCCCGGATAGGTAGGTTACAGGCGTACATCGCCATACCCAACTAATTTTTTTTGCATTTTCTTTGTAGAAACGGTGATTTGCTATGTTGCCCAAGCTGGTCTCAAACTCCCGGGCTCAAGTGATCTACCCACCTTGACCTCCTGAAGTGCTGGGAGTACAAGAGTGGGCCACCATGCCTGGCCTATCTGCTGAGTTTTAATGTCAATGACTACTTCCATTTCTAGCCATTTGTTTTATTTTTATAACGACACGATGTAATTAGTATACCACACAATTCACCCATTTAACGTGTACAATTCAATGATTTTTAGTGTATTCACCAAGTAGTATGCCAATTACCAAAATCAATTTTACAACATTTTCATAACCCCATGATGAAAGAAACCCATGCTCATTAGCAGTCACTCTCCATTTCCCTCCAACTTCCCAGCCTAGACAAAACCAATTTATGTTCTGTCTCTACAGATTTGCCTATTCTGGACACATCACATAAATGAAATCATACAATATGTCATCCTTTGTGACTGGCTTCTTTCACTGGGCACAGTGTTTTCAAGGTTCATCCATGCTGTAGCATGTATCAGTTGTTTTATTTTAAAATCTGCCCTTTTCCAGCCAGGCGCGGTGGCTCACATCTGTGGTCTCAGCACTTTAGGAGGCCAAGGTGGGCAGATCACTTAAGATGAGGAGATCGAGACCAGTCTGGCCAACATGGTGAAACCCTGTCTCTACTAAAAATACAAAAATTAGCCAGGCGTGGTGGCACGTGCCTATAATTCCAGCTACTCAGGTGGCTGAGACAGGAGAATCGCTTGAACTTGGGAGGTGGAGAGTGCAGTGAGCCGAGATCACGCCACTGCACTCCAGACTGGGGACAGAGTGAGAGACTCTGTCTCAAAAAAAAAACCAAAACAAAAACAAAAAAACTTCCCATTTCCTTTACAGGAATTTTCTTCATTCTTTCTTTTATATTAGGGTTAACAAGCTTTTTCTGTAGAGGGCCAGATAGTAAATATTTTAGGTTGTGTTGGCCACACATTCTCTGTTGCAACTATTGAACTCTTGCTGCTGCAGTGTGAACGAAGCTATAGAACATACATGAATGAATGAGCATGGCTATGTTCCAGTAAAACATAAAACTTTAATTTACTTGCAGGCCTAGTTTGCCAACCTATTTTGTATCTTTAATCATAGAAAGAACACATACTATATCACCAATCAAAAAACTTTTTTTTTTTTTTTTGAGATGGAGTCTCGTTTTGTCACCAGGCTGGAGTGCAGTGGCGATCCTGGCTCACTGCAACCTCCAACTCCCAGGTTCAGGCGATTCTCCTGCCTCAGCCTCCCGAGTAGCTGGGATTACAGGCGCGTGCCACCACACCCAGCTAATTTTTGTATTTTTAGTAGAGACAGGGTTTCACCCTGTTGGCCAGGATGGTCTTGATCTCCTGACCTCATGATCTGCCCGCCTCGGCCTCCCAAAGTGCTGGGATTACAGGTGTGAGCCACTGCGCCTGGCCAAAAAAGTTCTGTTAACTAAAGTTCTCAGGATTCTAATCCTGTTCATTATGTCTGCTGACTTGGAGGAAATATTTTCTTATGTTTTGTAATTTTTAATGGTGAGTTCATTTTAGGTAAAGCTTTGTCTATGAAATGTCTGTGTAGTTTGGGTTGACAGGTAATTATTTTCAAGTTTTGCATTTTCTCTCACAAGGCATCCCAGGAAAACCTGCAGTCCCAAAGTGCTTTTTAATATTTTTCTGTTTGGAGATCCTCAGGCATTATCCCTGTCTCAAGAGTGTTATAGGTAAAGAATTATGTTTTGTGAGGCTTCTTTTTGGGTTCAACTGTGATACCAAACTCAGATGGCCAACTTTCCCTATCATCTATTAATTAGATAGATGTCCACCTGTTGTCTTTTCCCTGGGGTTGTAGTCTTTTTTTTTTTTTTTTTTTTTGACAGAGTCTCACTCTGTTGCCTAGGCTGGAGGGCAGTGGCACAATCTTGGCTCACTGCAACCTCCATCTCCTGGGTTCAAGCAATTCTCTGCCTCAGCCTCCCGAGTAGCTGGCATTACAGGTGCCTGCCACCACGCCCGGCTAATTTTTCTATTTTTAGTAGAGATGGGGTTTCATCATCTTGGTCAGGCTTGTCTTGAACTCCTGACTGCAGGTGATCCACCCGCTTTGGCCTCCCAAAGTGCTGGGATTACAGGCATGAGCCACCGTGCCCAGCCGGGCTGTAGTCTTGACTCTGCTTCATGTGAGGGTTTCAGTTCTAACTACCAGCCTCCTATAGGCTATTTCTTAAACCAAGGTTACAGAAATCTCTAAACTTTCCCATCACCCCAGAGCAGTCATACCATAGGCCATGCTTAATCCTTTGAATTTTAGTGTCCATTATTGGCCCTTGGAGGATTTCCCCCTCACTCTTGCAAGCTCAGTTACACATTTAAAAAGACAATTGTTATATTTGATTCAGTATTTCTATGTGTTCTGACCAAGAAGTTTTCAGGTTAAGTTTGCTACTGTATTACTCAAAAATTATTGAAGTAAATACTCAAAAGATAAGTTACATTCTACATGAAAATATACAAGTCTCAATATTAAATCACATAAAGGCTAAATGAATAACCTATACATTAGTATGATTTTATTTATTTTTGGAAATAGGGTCTCACTCTGTTGCCCAGGCTGGAATGCAGTGGTGTGAATATGGCTCACTGCATCCTTGACCTCTTGGGCTCAAGCAATTCTCCTGCCTCAGCCTCCAGAGCAGCTGGGACCACAGTCATGCACCAAAACATCCAGCTAATTTTTAAAATTTTTTGAGTAGACAGGGTCTCAAAACTCTTGGGCTCAAGCAATCTTTCCACCTCAGCCTCCCAAAGTGCTGGGATTACAGGCAAGAGCCTCTGCACCTGAAAACTGGTATGATTTTAAATGACTTCAAGAACATTTTAGGCATTCTGTTAAAGCTCCAGGAAGACAAATTCAATCTATAAAGTATATCAAGTACTATTATTAATATAATAATAGTTCCCTAATGGGAAAAAACAAAATAAAACAAAAACAGTATTTCCTCCTTCAGAGAAAAGGAATGTGGAACTTACAGTGCATTGTCAAATTTCCCAGAGCTATACTGGTGGACATAAGAAGAGTAAGCCAAATCTTCATGAGCTGTTGCTACGTGGATATTTTTGCCACCAAACACTGACTGTCTAATGTCAAGTGCTGCCTGAAAGAATCATAAAAATATTTGTCAATACTGTAGAAAATACCACCTAAATTAAACATCCTAGTAATTTAAATATATATCTATATGCCTAACACCACAAAATTATGAAGCCCAGAAAGTCCTGCTATATTTAAATTACAGAACACGAAAGTCACCTAGAAGGCCTGAATTTCTGAAGATAGAGTTTGACTTAAAAGGCAATGGCTTAATAATAATAATCATTCCTATGTCTTGAGAATCAAGACATTGGGAATGTTTTTCTCTGTGTCCTTCTTCAAAAGTGAACTTAGGCCAGGCACGGTGGCTCACACCTGTAATCCTAGTACTTTGGGAGGCCAAGGTGGGTGGATCACCTGAGGTCAGTAGTTCAAGACTAGCCTCCGCAACATGGTGAAACCCCGTCTCTACTAAAAATACAAAAATTAGCCGGGCATGGTGGCATGGGCCTGTAATCCCACATACTCAGGAGGCCGAGGCACGAGAATTGCTTGAACTCAGGAGGCGGAGGTTGCAGTGAGCTGAGATTGCGCCACTGCACTCCAGCCTGGACGACAGATCGAAACTGTCTCAAAAGAAAAAAAAAAAAAAAAAGTGAACCTTAAAGTCAAGTATGCCTTGTCTAGACCAATGGCATAATACATCATTTACCTGAGAATGAGTAAGAAAGGCCTAAAATAATTATCAGCCATCTTTGTTATTACAAAGGCAGCTTTAGCGACATTTACTAAATCAACAACAAAGACAAGCCATTATATGGGTAAATAAAAAATGGAAAACTACTCCCAAATATGAGCTCACAACCCAACAATTCCTTTCCTGAATGATTCTCTTTAGTTCCCAAAGCATTAACTTTTACGCCTTCTGGCAATACTTAATAAAATAATGATGCAACCTATATTGGTGGGAAGGGTAGGTGTTAAAAAGTAATTTTTGAAGAGTGGTTTATACACCACAAACAAATACAGGTCAGCAAGTCAATATAGGTTGAAGAAAAAAAGGGTAACAATTAACATTATCCTGATAAAT